ATGCGTTCCGATTTCGAATCAAACTTTCGGATAAACCTTTAACGAGAAGAGGTATACTTTCTATTATAAGTTCGATATACGATCCGCTTGGCTTCATATCTCCTTTGTTATTAGTTGGGAAACAAGTTTTACAAGAAATGTGTAGGCTTAACACTGGTTGGGATGATGTGATTCCTGAAGATTTGCTACCACGTTGGCAACGGTGGAGAGATGAACTGTTTAAAATTGAGACTCTTAAGATTGATAGATGTTTCAAGCCTGATGGTTTTGGAACTGTGGTTTCCGTAGGGATTCATAATTTTTCGGATGCGAGTACATTCGGCTATGGAGTATGCTCTTATTTGCGACTAGTGGATGCTAATCAACGTGTTCATGTTTCATTAGTCATGTCGAAGTCCAGAGTGACTCCGTTGCGAGCTATAACTATTCCACGTCTTGAACTGACTGCAGCTGTCGTTGCTGTCAATGTGAACTTACTTATTAAAAAAGAATTAGGATACCCTACAGTTGCTCAATATTTTTGGACTGATAGTCGTGTCGTATTAGGGTATATAAACAATGATGTTCGTCGCTTTCAAACATTTGTTGCAAATCGCGTCCAGAAAATCCGAGATCATTCACAACCGAGAGAATGGCATCATGTTACAACGAAAGCAAATCCTGCGGACATAGCGTCTAGGGGCGCATCTGCTAATGACTTAGTTGAAAATTCAATGTGGTTTAAAGGACCAGAGTTTCTGTGGAAATCTGTAATACCGGATGACAAGGAAGATTATTCGAGTATCGCCTTTGAGGCAGATGATCCTAACATTCGTAAAATTAACTCTTTCGCTCTGAAAACCGAGAACAGTTTTGATGTGATGAGACTGAGTTTTTGTTCTAGTTGGTTTCAACTTAAAAAGGTTATTGCCTACTGTTTACGTTACATGTCTATTCTTAGAAATCGAATTGCTAAGGACACTAATATTGAAAATCCTGTTGGACCTTTAAGGGTTAACGAACTTAATAAAGCAGAAATTGTGTTATTGAAGCTAGTTCAATCAGAAGTTTTTAGTAAGGAGTTGGAAACTTTGCGATCCGTGAAACAGCTTCAAAATGAGTCTAATAGAAATGACATTCGTTTGCGTCGGAAGTATATACAAAAGAATTCAACTTTGAGTAAGTTAGATCCATTTTTGGATGATCATAACCTTTTACGAGTTGGTGGACGACTTGGTAACTCAAGACTAAGTTGTGCTGAGAAATACCCAATTATTATGCCGCGTAAGTCTTTCGTGACAGAACTTTTAATTGCTCATCATCATGAATTGTGTGAACACCAAGGTCGTGGACTTACTGTGAATGAACTTCGTTTAAACGGTTATTGGATTCTGGGATGTACCAGTGCGGTTTCGGAATACATTCATAAATGTGTTAAATGTAGGAAATTGCGTGGTCGATGTCAAGACCAGAAGATGTCAAATCTTCCCGAGGACAGATTGGAATCCACGGCGCCCTTTACGTATTGCGGAGTTGATTGTTTTGGCCCTTGGTTGATCAAAGAGGGGCGTAAAGAACTCAAGAGATATGGTGTTCTGTTTACCTGTTTAAATTGTCGCGCGATTCATGTAGAGACTGTCAATACCATGACTACTGATTCTTTTATCAATGCGTTGCGTAGGTTCTTAACATTTCGTGGTCCAATACGAGTGCTTCGGTGTGACAACGGAACTAACTTTGTTGGAGCTAAGCGAGAGCTTATGGATGCTTTCAAAGAGATGAATCATCAACACATCCGACAGTTCCTGCTTAAACGTAGTTGCGATTATTTTGAGTTCAAGATGAACGTCCCTTCTGCCAGTCACATGGGAGGCATTTGGGAACGGCAAATCCGTACCGTACGCAGTATTCTTTCTTCATTAATGGACCAATCCGGTACTCAACTAGATGACGAGTCACTTCGGACATTTATGTGCGAGGCAGCTGCAATCGTAAACAGCCGACCCTTAACGACTGATACTTTAAATGATATCAATTCTTTAGAACCTCTCACGCCTAACAATCTATTAACTATGAAATCAAAAATTCTGTTACCACCACCTGGTAATTTTCAACAACCTGACGTTTACTCTAGAAAACGTTGGAGACGAGTACAGTATTTGGCTAATGTTTTTTGGTCCCGTTGGCGAGTAGAATATTTACAGAATCTACAAACTCGACAGAAGTGGACTCAACCCATTCGAAATGTTCAAGTTGGTGACGTTGTTTTGATTAAGGATGCTGAATCTCCCCGAAATAGTTGGAACTTAGGAAGAGTTGTTGTTGCGGATCCAGACTCAGATGGACATGTGCGAAAGGTGAAGATTATGATTGGTGATCGTGCGTTGGATGATAACGGAAAGCGAGTTAATCCTATATCATACCTGGATCGTCCAATTCATAAACTAGTTGTTTTATTGGAAAACTAGACCGGGGTGTTCCCCATCGAGGAGCCTTCGTTTTTGCGATTACGATTACGTTAGTGCGTTGCGGGACATTTTGTTGTTCTATCTAGCCATACATATAGATGTAGGCCTATGTACATTTTCGTTGCGATTTGGTTAGTGCGATACGAATATGGGAATTCGAACATTCTGTAATAATTGTCAATTTTAGTCTTGGTAATGTGCGTATATTTATGTACATGTAACATGTAATATCTTTCTGCGCAGATTGCAGAGTGTCTTGTCATGCTTCATTTTATGAAAATTAAATGTCTTTAATTTTGAGGAGCCATGTAACCGATTCATAAATCGGGTCAGTTTGTACGTTGGAACAGCCTTAAGTTAATATGATAGAAGAGCTTTTAGTTTAAGGGATAGGTTATTGTTATTGTCTAATAATATGAACTCTCTGGACTGTTGTAATGTTTTTTGATGTATGTTTTTTATGTATATTAATTTATAACGTTATAAACTTCCAGGCTGCGCTACGCTTCGTAAAATAGTAACCTAACGCATTGATTGTTAAATTGTTTAATATCCCTGCGTAATTAATGCTCCCTGTGTCAGTCTTGCAAATGGCTTTCCTAGAAACCATGTTTTTTCGTTTTTGCGTGTGGTCAAGTTAACAGGCTCTTGGAGGTAAATAATTCTGTAATATTGCATTTGTATGTCATATTTCGTTTAATGTAGTATTCATTTATTTGTCCTGCTAGGTTTTGCGTTGTGTTAAACTGTATTAATTTGTATTTTTCAGTTTTCACGTCTGTGTTACCGGCATGTCTTTTAATTCAAGTCTGGAAGTTCGAGTCTAAGTTGTTTGCGTTCATCATGTATGATATTCTACGTTAGGCTATTTCCAATGTTTATACGATGATATCCTCGTCCGATGTCATGAAGCATTAAAGAGACAATGAATAAAGATATGTATATGGTGTATTACAGTTAGTCGAGTCTCCTTTTCAATCTATGGTGTTATACTCCTGTTATCATGATCACAGGCTGGGTGCGTTCGTCTAGGTCTCCAGCTGCCTCTACAGTTATCTTTTACGTGTATGTCGATGTGTACACGAGACCCCGGGTTGTCGTCTCATTCGAATGACAAGAGACTGTTCCTTGTCAGTCCCTTCGTTCTGGAATACTCACATGGGGGAAACCATGGCGGAAAAACCCTGGGAACTTGCCAGACAACACCGGGAGCGGACCCAAAACCTTCCTGTTCACGAGCCAGTTTATTACGCACTGAGCCAATGCGCCTCCCAAATTCCTTTTAAAATTTTCAACGTTTGCAACATTAATTGATGCACTATGGATTCAAAACCCCTGTTTGAGACAAAAATAAAATTTTGATGCCCAAAATGTGTTTATTTTTGTCCAAATAGCCTAGATATTATAGGAAATAATTTTAGGAATGGTATAAGTACCTTTGGGTCTAAGTGGGTTATAGATGCACAATGGATTCAAAACACCTGAAATGGTGATCAGTGGGTTTAAGTTCCCTGGTATAGTGTTGTGTGTACCGTATTTCTGTAGAATTGTATAGGAAATGTCAACTCGGCACCAAACCATAATTCAGATTGAATCCCCTTTTCTTGTAATGTTTTATACCACTTTATACAAACTGTTGTATTTTAAAGGCACATTATGTAAGAGCTGGCCTCATATATTATATAAATTATTATGTAGACATTTATTCACAAAGGAACAGTCTATAATCAACTCTCTAGACCATCGGCAATGCCCGACATTCAATACATAATGAATGACCTAATCAAGCTGCGGCAATGTACAGGAGATATCTTACTCCTTATAAACTAATATTGGAGAAATGTATTGCTTCTCAGAGAAAGGATCGTCTGATAAAGGATCATTTCAAAGTGCTTATAAACAATTTCAAAGTACCGAAACAGCTTTAATCCCGGTTTCAAATGTTATTTTACTGGAAATTGATAATAGAAAATATACATTTTTAAATTTATTAGATTTATCTGCCGCTTTCACGTAGACTTCATTTTAAATTCGGTATTTGTGGCTCTGCATTAAGTCTTATAGAACGCTTGTGGGCAGAAAGCAGTGTATCTTAGTTAATTGTAAAACGTCGTCTGAATCTGTTTTCTCATCTGGGGTTCCTCGAGTGTATCTCAAACGGTTTATAAATTAGATAAAGTATTCGGAAAGAAACCTTTATTCTTCGCGTATGTCCTTCCCCAGTATAACCTCGGACTCGTTCTTTATCAATTACATCATGATTCTATAATACGAATATCATATAATGGCCTGAAAAGTTTGGGACATGATGTGAAAATAGAGAAAATGAATTTGAATTCACATTTAAGTAGCGAGCTTGTACAACGAAGAGAGCAACATAATTTCAAAATTCAAAATACTTAAATGGATGGTCGGGCGCGTCACCCTTCTGTCCTCACACTGCACGCCACTTTATTAGACCACATACTGTCTATAATCACAACTAGCTGGTACTAATGGTCTGGAATTAACTATAGTCGATACTTCAGCAAAGACTGTAACCAATACTTCGTGTTCTTTTAGGTAAATTACATTTATTATATGTCAGTATAAATCATATTTTTAGAATACTGGGTTACCCCTTCCCCCGTCAATACAAATTATCTCCCCCGTTATAAATGATGATTCGTCCGAGAGAAGAAATTTAACCAGTTTAGCTACATCTTCTGACTCGGCTATTTTTCCCAGTGGTGTCGCTCTCACGTTGCTGGCTATCATCTGAAGAAGAAATATGAATGGTAGCTTTAATTATAAATCTTTGAATTTATATGGATCTACATGTATAGCTTCCAACTGGTAGCCTCGCCTACTGAATCCCTGGTATCCCCAGTGGTCTCATTCCGCTCCACTCTACTAACCCATGGGTTCATTCATGGGGGAGACACGTATTCAACAACAGTTATCTAGTCGTTCGGATGGGGTGTAAAACCGAGGTACCGTGTATACATTTGCATGCACGTAAATGAAATGAAATGGGGGTTTAACGTCCTACTGTTTGCTCCGAACTGGGCTAATGAAGACAGGCATACGCTATACAGTGTGCTATAAGGGAAATTTTGCGCGGACAGTGGCACGCCAATGTGTACACGGGACCTCGATTTTTCGTCCCATCCGAGCTACTAGGCAGCTGTCCTTGTCAGGCCCTCCGCCCTGCATCATTGACAAGGGGGAACCACGCCGGAAAATCTGGATGAACTTTCTCGGCCACGGCAGGAATCGAAAACCCGACCTCCAGACTAGCGAGCCAGCGTCTTACCCACTTAGCCACCGTGATCCCCGCATGCACGTAAAAGAGCCCATGACAATTTGAATTCGATATATGAGTGGAGAGTAGCGCCGCTGTCCAGGCAAAATTAAGTGAAGCTTCAAGTGAGTGTCAATGGGACAATAACTTCTGTTAAAGGCGCTAAGTCTCTAACTCAATATTTTCCATAAAAACAGAAATTAAAAACATGGATTAGAATTCAATATTCATCAATTTCAATCAATATCTTGCCGTGAAAATATAAGATCCTAATATCCAATATTTAACAAACATTTTGTAATCAGTACACGAGTCATGTACGCTATGGTTTCGGGTTCCATTTTGTAATGAACAAATAAAAACATATCCTACAACACAATGTGGAAGTAAAGACTGATTCACAAACGACAAAATAATGATTTAAAAAACGTGTAGAATACACTTAACAGGCATAAACGACTGTCGTTCAATTTGACTTGTTCACCTATTTCGCCGAACATAATTGATTGGAAATTACAATATTGTTTTCAACAATTGAATATAAATTACTTTAGATATATTCATATTACATCAAAATGGGCTTTTAGAACCATTTTTATCTTTTTGAAGGTTCCCCCAAAATAGAGAAAAACGCCCTTTAAAGGCAGAGTTCCAGAAGAATTTTCTCCGTCACTTGCTTCTGGTTTGTGCCAGTGAAAGTGAAGTTGGTAATAATTCGCATATGGTTAATATATTTCGACAAGAGGAATTTATATCTACCTCCGCTTTAGCTTCTTCTGACAGTCCTATTTTGTCGATAAATTCTGTTCTAGTAAAACCAGGACTGAAAGAATGAAATGAATCACATAATTATCTAGGAGGAACCAAGCCCTTGTAATAAACAGAAATAAAATTGAGTCAACTGGCGTGGTTTCGAATCCCCGGTCGTACGTGTCCAACCTCGTGGGTTTTCCTCGGGTCCACCAGTTTCCTCCCACTGCTAAGGACCCCTACGCGCAAGCGAATTATTGAAATAAAAATAAAAAACATATGTTAGTCTTTACAATCTCATCAATATTCGTTCAGATGCCATATAAAACCGGGGTGCCGTGTACATGACAGGCCAACGATCCCGTAGCAGTTGGAATTGAAAGAAACCGAGCTGTGTGGGCAAGGTGTATAACCGTCTTCATTATCCCAGTTGGTGTAAAACGGATAAGACGTGATTTCATTTCTTGTATCGTATGTAGGCTTATGTCCTTAACAATAATATTTACTACATCTCAACAGGAAACTTATGGCTGGGGATATTTGCCCCAGACCACAATTATCAACCGATATCCATGAAACTTACAGAATATGATAACATGAATAATATCTCAGAGTAGGCAAAATGTCGTCGACCACTTCCGGTTAGAGTTTTCTGAGTTATCAGGTTACCACACATTTCATGTGGCACGACTACAGACCACAGTTATTAACCGATTTCCATGAAATTTACAGAATATGATAACATTAATATTATCTCAGAGTAGCCGAAATTTCGACCACTTCCGGTTAGCGGTTTCGGAGATATCAAGTTACCACACATTTCATGTGGCACGGCTACAGACCACAATTATCAACCGATTTCAATGAAACTTGCAGATTATAACCGGAAGTGGTCGAAATTTTGGCTTCTCTGAGATATTATTAATGTTATCATATTCTGTAAGTTTCATGGATATCGGTCATAATTGCGGTCTGTAGCCGTGCCACATGAAAAGTGTGGTAACTCCCATATCTCGGAAACCGCCAACCGGAAGTGGCCGAAAGTTTTGCTACTCAGAGATGTTATCAATGTTATCATAATCTGTAAGTTTCATTAAAATCGGGTAACAATTGCGGTCTGTAGTCGTAAGGCTATTTTGAAATTCTTGCTTACCTCATGTGGCAAATAGCCACTGCCGAATTTTATATTTGAAGGAGAATTATTGCATTTTTCAAAAATTATCAATGCAATCTGGTGAGTTTAAAATTCAGCCGCTGCAATTGCGATTTTGTGTTATTGTAGCCCGTGAGTTAAGCAACATCAGAGTTGGCCAGTGGTTTTGGAACCGAAATCCCCCTCCCATTCTATGCCGATCTAAATAAGATCATCCAATTAGACTGTTTTAAAATATAGAGTTAAATATTACTCACTTGACACTGTTAACTCGAACACCAGATGGTCCAATTTCTATTTTAAAACAAAGATTTATTACAATTTATTACGTAACATCAATGTGCTTTTTTAAAATTTATGTTTATGTTTAGTGGCAAATAACTGAATTATTTGAATAAATATATTATGTTTTACCATCTGCCAATAAATGAGTGAAACTGTCCAAGGCAGCTTTACTTAGACTGTACGGTGTTACACTGGTCATCTGTAATATAAAATATATTATTGATTATTTATCATCTCTTCTGACGAGTAAGTACACGTTTCATCTTTAAGAGGGAGAGGGAGAGAGAGAGAGAGAGAGAGAGAGAGGTGGGGTTTTACGTCCACTCTACACAAACTAGGTCATTTCGGGGCTAACACACGGTTCAATTTTTATTTCAATAATTCGCTTGCACGTAGGGGTCTTTAGCAGTGGGATGAAACCAGAGGACCGAGAGAAAGCCCGTCAGGTTTGATAAGGCGACCTTACTCCTTTACAATTACAACCGGGGAATCGAAACCACGCCAGATGACTCAATGATAGACCTTATGATACAGCACGCACGTGCTAACCATTCGGCCATCCAACCCGATTTCATCAGTAAATCAAAACATCACAGATTGATGTGTGTTTGCCATAACCTTGAACGAAATTGTGACACATGCAGTACAAGAACAGAGTTCTCCAAAAATAACACTAAAGATGTACAACAATTACAAGTCATATTAAATATTTTACGAAATTTTATAACCTGGAACGAAAGTGTGATGCACGGAGTACAACAGCGGGGTTTTCCAAAATTAACACTAAACATCTAAAACAATTACAAGTCATATAATATCTATGTTATTACTTATGTTCTGGGACAATATTAGTTCAATAACCAATGGTCTTGAATTGTATGTTGAGGGAACTCTGCCTATTGAATCTCTTAAGGGGAGTAACGTCATAATATTTAATGTCTGCCGTTAAACGCCAGCATCATGGCATTATAGTATACACTGAAAAAACCCTTGTGTTGGATCTCAACACAAGAACTTGTGTTAAAAATATTTAACTCATGTTTTTGTTGTATTGCATTGCAATGACACAAGTTTGTGTTCTTTTCAATGTCTTAACACAAACTTGTGTACATTTATAAAATCTTGTGTGTTTCCATATAATTAATTACATCGACATTAAGGATAACATTTATTATGTTACTTTATCATATGATGTTTTTTATTTATTGAGAAAATCTGAATGGGATTGGGGAACTGGATTAGGGATCTGGCCTAGCCTATATGTAAAACCACTCTTCCTGAATTTGAATGTCGAGTAATTCGCTTGATTTATTTTTTAATATTTCTAATTATCTAAAAGGATATATTAATTATTACAAACATTAAGTATGTATCGCAATGTATGTATCGTGCGATGCATTTAATATCTCTTTTAAAACAACGTATTTTATAACAGTTTACTGATATAAAGAAATCAAAGTTTTAGTCAATTATTATCTAATTATAAACTATTTATTTAATTAGACATAATTAAAGATTATTCTGATTCTACTCTGTTTATTTTCACATCTTGTCTCAGACAATATACAGAGACAGACATGACACAATTATATGGAATACAAGTTACTTAAAGAGTTTATTACAGCGACGTTTCGACGAGGGTTCTCCCGTCTTTATCAAGCAAATAATGACCATCATCGTTCGTTCGTTCTTGGTGTTTAACGTCTGCTTCCACATAAGTGATATCGCAGACAAGACATAGGAGAGCCGAAGCTGAATCCTGTTTTTTAGAATATGATTTTGCAATCTTTCCATTTGGCCTTAGGCCATGGATTTGGTTTAGTGGGAAGTTCTTCCCTTTATTTAATATAAAACATATCGTTTGATAGATGATCTCGTCTGCTTCTGGATTGGTAGATGTCATCGTTTTAGTGTTTAGGTGCCAGGCTCGTCTTATCGTGGCCTCCCCTTACTCCACTATCCCACTCTCTGGGTTTGGTATCAGTTTTATTTGCAGAATAGTGTTTAGGTGCCGAGTTCGTCTGACCGTGACTCCCCCTTACTCCATTATTCTGCTAGTTTGGTAGATGTCATCTTCGTGGGGTTTGTGTTTAGGTGCCAGGCCCGTCTTATCGTGACCCCCCCTAACTCCACTATCCCACTCTGTAGGTTTGGTGTCTGTTTTTGGTGGAATAGTGTTTAGATGCCGAGTCCGTCTGATCGTGACTCCCCCTTACTCCACTATCCTGCCAGTTTGGTATAAATCCCATATGTAGTTTAGTGTTTAGATGCTGGGCCCGTCTAACCGTGACCCCCTCTTACTTCACTATTCTACTTAGTCCAACTGTGTCCATTAGGGCGTGGATTTGTTCGAAGATTTGCAGTTTCAGATCTGGTCTCGGGAAGAGTAGGTTCTTAGTGTTGAATGGTATGTTGTTGGTCTCCATTGTTCTCACTAGTTCCCTTCTCTCCTCCTCGTATACCTCGCAGTCTACCAGGACATGGTTGGTGGTACATTCTTCTCCGCACTCACAGATGATGACTTGGTGTTTGTAGTCTCGCAGCCGCTCTTTCACCCTTAGCTTCGATATAAGTCTACAAATATCTCTTCTAGGCTGATTGAGTGTTGTCTTTGTGTAGATCTTGTCATCCAGCCGGAATCTGTATGTGTCAAGTTCAACGAGATTTAATTCCCAGATTGAATTGACCTGTCTTTTGACCATACTGTAGATTTCCGTGGTGCTGTAGTCTATGGTGCGGAGTGGTGCTGTGTCCTTGAGACCTTCATTGGCGAGTCGATCTGCCTCCTCGTTTCCTCTAATGTTGACATGTGATGGAATCCACACGAGTTCTACTTTGCTTCCCTTCTCTATAACCCTCTGGTACAGCTGCCTGATTTCCAAAATGACTTCTGGTCTTTAGTCCGAGTTGTCATTTTGGATTGAAATCAGACTGCTCAGAGAGTCGCTTGGAATGACGAACTTACTAGTCTTTTGATGGGAAATCAATGATATAGCGCCACGAATGGCCACAAGCTCTGCAGTGTACACCGAATAGTTATTGGGCAGTTTCCTGCTTATTCCCTGTTTCCCGTTTGGCAGGTATATTCCAAACGAGCTGGTGCCCTTTTAGGATTGTGTGAGCCATCCGTGTACACATGGTCCCAGTCATCAGACGGCCAGTTGTCTTCCAGGTGTTCTAGAGAGAAAGCACGTGCAGCAGTGGGGTTGTTTTTCTTGTCAGTTTTCTGTAGGGGTCGTGTTCATTTATCACGAGCTCCCCCAGTTGCAGTTCCTTGATTGTTTCCCTGATACCCTGGCCGAAGCCTTTCTGTCTAGGATCTCTTACATATCTTGTCTTTTGTAGACTGACAAAAGTATGGGATCTTTCGCCCAGTTGCGAGATCTTGGCCCAATATCTTGTCGCTAGTTCTTTTCTTCTTAGGGATAGGGGCAACTCCCCGGCTTCCTGTAGTAATGCCTCTCTCCTAGTCCCAAGCCCTACGCCGGTCGCAATACACAGAGCTTTGTATTGGATGGTGTCAAGCTTACTTAAGAGTTTTGGCGCACAGTTCATGAAGGCCAAAGAGCCGTATAGTACTTTTACTACCTTTCTTAACTTTTATAATGTTATTTATATGTCTTATCTTGTATATTTTTGCATTTTTTGTATTTTACTCTGTAAAGTCCATCGAGATGTATATATGGTTGACTATAATCAATAAATTATTATTAATTATTAATTTGTGTTTCAAAGAGGAGTAAGCAATAATGCTACCTGACTAGAATACCCCCCCCCCCCCCCTTGAATTCGCATGTAGCCATACATATGAGTCTCAAAATAATATATATTGTTAAATTATGCTCTTTTCAACTCCCCCGCCCCGCCGCCGCCCCCTGCTCAATGGGTTATTTTACTTTTATTCTGCCATCTAAATAACTCTATACCCATGACTGGTGTACCAAGTTAAATCCACATTATTGTAGGATGAAATCAACCTTAATTTTTAAACATTTATTAAAACATTTCGAATGTTAATGCCTCTTTTATATGAAATGTTTTTATTAATTAATCAATTTTTGTTTTACAAATTTTTAATTTTCTCCATTTTATTTGATTTTTATGCTATATTTATTTTATCTATCTATAATTATTTGCCTATGCTTTATCTATTATTTCCCATTTATATACTGTAGAAAATTTTGAATTCCTAATCTGTTAAAGGGACTATTTTTTCTTAAAAGTATTTCAATTTAGTGCATTATTAATGTCTTAAGAGCTTGGTTTGGTTGATATTAAATTTAGATATATTTAAAATGTATGTTTTGGGACCATGGGTTAGGGATATTGTGAACATATATATTATATTCTCAGTTATTATTGAACACAATTTTATTAGTGTTGGAATTAACTTTGTTGATTTATATTCCAAATGTCTTGGTGCTTTATTTTTCAATTTAAATAGCTACTTTTTATTTAATAATTGGGAATGGGGGGTGGGGTATTTTTTCATTGTATAACACAATTTTATTAGTATTGGAATTAACTTTGTTTATTAACCTTCGAGATGTCTGTATTGGTATTACTTTGGCATTAATTTATTTTTTCATATCATTTATTGAATAAATAATAATTTAACAAACAAAATTATTATATGTCATTTATCAATAATTACCGTTTAAACAGAACGAATGGAAGAGGTTGCATTCGAAAGGTTGTTATACTGGATATAAATTGGTAAAATACAACACAAGTTTTTGTTATACACAAGTTTCAGAAATTTCAGAAATTTCAACACAAATAATGTATAGAGTTTCACACAAGTTTCAACACAAGTTTTGTGTTGTTTCAACATTTAACACAAGTCTTGTGTTGTTTCAACATTTAACACAAGATTGTGTTGTTAAATAGAGACATCTAACTTGTGTTGAAAATAACACAAGTTTGTGTTGTTTCAACACAATTCTTTTTCAGTGTAACTAAACTGTCTAACAATTTTTTTTATTGCAAATTGACCCGAAGAAATTGATGAGATAATTTTATTCTTATTCAAATAAAAAAGAAAAGAAAGTATAACAATAAACGAGACAAGAAGGTCTTACCCCTTTTTTTGAGGCGACACTAGAGATGTTGACCACACTACCTATAAGTATAAACACACCCATCATGTATTGTATGGAAGGATATCTCTGCCAATATTAAATGCTCTGCTACAATGTCTTTTCCGTTAATTACGTGTAAAAAGTACAATGTACAAAGTCTGAATACCGGTAATGATAAAGTCAAAATACTTCTAAGGCCAAAGTTAAATCTAAAACGTCAAATACAATGTGTCGAACGTCAAATGTTTTATTGGAAAATGCTGTTCTGACGTGTCTACATTTGACATTTTCCTTATCACATTTTACATTTGCGTTCTGTCGCATCTCATTTTGCTTCACGCCTTTTACATAGCATCTTAAGCACAGCGCTAAGTTCGATATGCTAATGTAGGATATCACGTGACTTAACCTGGCACACTATAAGCCAGCACACTATAAGATATTTACATTGTCTGCGGTGTCACCTCGATGGAAGCGAACTTTACACTTTATACTTTTTACATATAATCAATGGAAAAGACATTTTAGCAGAGCATTTAGTATTGGCAGCGATGCCCTTCCATAGTATTGTACTTATATCTCTCAGTGCCTGAATCAGAGATATAATGTTTTAAAATCAGGACAACAACATTTTAAGATCAGGGCAACAATGTTTTAAAATCAGGACTACAATGTTTTAAAATCAGGGCTATCAGGACAACAATGTTTTAGGGTAACAATGTTTTAAAATCAGGGCAACAATGTGTAAAATTAAGACTACAATGTTTAAGAATGCCACATTCCGAACACTGACTGTGGTCCATGTTTAACTACAGAGGTTATTTTTCATATATATATTTTCATAATCATTTTTATTTTCTGATTACATCTTTGGAAAAGTTGTGCAGGAGCCAATTTCACCGAGAAAATCAAAATAATTAACATGTCAGAATATCCGCACTAACACTGAATGCTCTAATTGACATAATCTGATCTACTTGGAGTACATTTTACAAGCACCCATAAAACTGAAGACATTTGTTTCTATAATTTGAGTTTCCCCGACAATGAATAATATGATAATTTCAGAAAGTGGTAGGTTTCCTTGCAACGAGATACGTGCCTACCAACAGCTTTCTTATCTGGTCAGTAAAACAAATATTCAACTGTTATCTTAAAATAACAGGTCAAATTTGAAGTGTTCTTTTAACAAAAGAATCTCGTCACAAGGCAGAACTTTGCGGATTAATGCAAGACAATAAAATACACGAGGTTTTATCTAAGGTTTACATCACCTCTTTTCTTGGGCAATGCCGTATTTACAGATACACCCTTACCCTTACTCCCTTTTAAATGTGATATACAAAGTTTACAGTTGAATCCTCACATTTGCTTTGTTTTAGATAAGGTATACAGGGTTTACAGTTGAATCTTTACTCCCTTTTTAAATGTTATATACAAAGTTTACAGTTGAATCCTTACTCCCTTTTAAATGTTATATACAAAGTTTACAGTTGAATCCTTACCTTTGCTTTGTTTTAGATAAGGCATGCAGAGTTTGGACAAATAAAACGGAGCTCTAAAATTGACTCTCATAATTTCATCAAAATCTTTCATGTCCGTTTGTTCCGTATTTCCCATTCTACTGTATCCAGCATTATTAACCTGTAAAATATCCATGAAATATGGTTTGACAACCCACTGCTCAGCTCCGCTTGGGCTGATGAAGACGGACATGGGTGATAAAGTGTGCTATGAGGGAAAGTTTGCCTTGGCAGCGGCGCTACGTCCTACTGCTATATCGAATTTTAACAGCTAAGAGATAGTTTAGGTGCACGCCAATGTGTACACGTGACCTCGGTGGTCGTCACATTTGGACGACCATACGTTGTCCACAAAGCCACGCTGGAAAATGCCGATGAACTTTCTCGGCCAACACAGGGATCGAAACATGGGACCTCCAGGTTTGCTAGCCAACATCTTACTCGCTGAGTCATCGCGCGACTCCAACTCACGAAGCCGGTCAAAGTTTCTAGTCACGGAATGGACAGTTATTTTATCTACATTCTCGAGTTGACGCATGTCGTACCGTCTAAAAAAAACCCCCAAAAAAACCCAAAAAACATGCCGTAAAAGTTGAATTAGGTAAAAGCCATTTATACTCTAGCCATAACAACCGTACATTTTTACTGTTGGCCATAACAACCGTGCATATATTTTCCGCAAAAATCTAAAACCAAAAGTCGGGTATTCGGAACGTATGCAGCCTGGAAAAGAATGTGTGTCCATTTTAGGTATACGCCGACGGATAGGTGTCGATATCCAGGAATTCTTGAAATGAAATGAAACGAAAAAAAAAGTTTCCGCCTGTCCATCGAATGATTCCAATTGTCAAGGGTTCTGTCATGTAGATACAAGTGAACACGGGAATTCGACCCACTCTAACGACTAAACCTCATTACTTTCCATGTCCTCCGCCCTGCATCACTGGAAACCTGGTTAGCTTCAGTGAGCCATCACCTTAAACACTGGGCCACCACTTATAAGGAATTACTAAAGCCCAATATGCGGGAATTACTAAAGCTCAATATGTGGGAATTACTAAAGCTCAATATGTGGGAATTACTAAAGCTCAATATTTGGGAATTACTAAAGCTCAATGAGTGGGAATTACTAAAGACCAATCAGTGCGATCCTGCTGAAACAGGATGGACTGGATCATTAGGTTGAACATCGACATAATAAAATAAAAACTGTGCTTACCAATCCATAAATAGAACCAAATGTTTTTATTGTTTTATCAACTAAATTCTGTACATTATCATCTTTACTGACGTCACATTCTACTATCAAAATCTAGAAATAAAATACACGTGCATTATTTATACGTTTATAATTAACCACAACAGATCTAGCCTCGAGATGTTAAAATGGCGTCGGTATACCGTTGGACACCGATGAAAATCAATAAGATCAGATCAAATTGTTACACCCAGTGTGTTCACAAAGAACAATACTGTCAATACTGCCCTAAATTAAAGCATGGAAACATTCGTCACGTGATACTAGAAATGAACACGTTATAAGTTTTTGAACATCTTAGAAAGGTCGATAAATATAGATGTTTACCGTCGATTATCGTGTGGTCGCAATAGCCAGGATTGAAATGAAATGAAATGAAATGAAATGAAGTTTAACGTCCTACTGTTCTGCTCTTATACTGGGCTAATGAAGACGGGCATACGCCATACAGTGTGCTATGAGAGAAATTTTGCCCGGGCAGCGGCACTATTGCCTACTCTTATACCGAATTCCAACTGCCAAGGGATCTTTTACGTGCATTCCAATGTATACACGGGACCTCGGTTTTTCGTCTCATCCGAAGGACTAGACAGCTGTCCTTGTCAGGCCCTCAGTTCTGCACCACTGACAAGGGGAAACCACGTCGGAAAATCCAGATGAACTTTCTCGGTCAATAGCCCGGATTGAACACGGCGACAAAATGATATATTTCTGTTTTGTTTTTTACCAAATTCTTCATGAAACTGATTTTCAGAATTTCTGTTATTTACACCCATGTCATAAATATCAAGCTTCGGAACTCCCAGATGAGTTACAACAGTCAGTTAGAAAGATCAACAACTCGTTGTGATTAACAAAAGTTACTGACACTTCAAACTATCGTGAAGATGATCCTGAAGTCATTAATCCCGAAAAGAGCAGAACGTACAGAATGCTGCGTAATGACAAGCGACATCGTACAAAAAGATGCGATAGAAATGCCTTTCGCAACTCCCAGCAAAATGTAAATATTCTAAACTATTAGTTACGATCGGAACCGCTACCCGAATAACGGATTGCTATAGTAGCTGAATCACTCTTATCCAGTTTGAAATCTACCATGTTATCGTATACGGAAAAATGTTCAGATAAACTAACCAAACAGACAAGAAAAGAATATAAATGATATGCTTACATTATCTGTAGCCAATCCTTTATCTTGACACTGTAAACTTGTATCCTTTAAACCAGCGATACGTCTAGCAGCTAGAACTAACTTGGGTTTGTATGGAGCAAGATGGACAGCTATTGCCCTTCCTATACCTGAGCTCGCACCTGTAAAGCCACAATAATAATAAAACGTATTAAACTAGGATGGTGTCTGTCTGCTTACCAGATCGGGTTTTTAAACAGATTCACCAGGCAAATCAGTTCGTTCATCGGGATTACTGTTTTTTTTAGTTGGCCCCCTGCACTAGGTGATTCGGTATCATCTTAATAACTCGTTGATCTTCGTATCGGCTGCAAACGTCTGTAGTTGGTGCCCTAGTCTAGGTGATTTTGCATCATCTGAATAATCATTTATCTTCATATCTGCTTGAACGTCTCTAGTTGAACTACAGATATGGATTAACAGAACACAATTGTTATGGGAAACAATCACTAGTTTTATTCTAAAAGCACGACGTTTCGACAAATATCGTCTTATCGTTGTCAAGCACAATGACTTTTAGTAAACCTTAGGTCAATATATACAAAACAGGCCCGGCGGAGTGGGGGCCTGGGGGTGGGGGATCTTTAGCACCCCCCACCCATCCCCCCCAATAATTTGACCGCACGTAATTTTTTTCTCCAGGTTATTGCACGCACGTAACTATTGAATGAGACTTCTAGAACGTAGACCTCCATAAGAAGAAAACCCTGCTATGCTCTATACTGATCTCTGGGTTAAGAAACCAACGGTTGCGAGGGTCGCGATTAGATAACTAACAGCCGATCTTTATTTTTCAAGTCCATCTCACGTCTGTTGTATCTATGACATATTAGGTAATTAGAAAAACGACGAGATAGTTTAATTATACTCTTTCCCCGTGTCACTTATCCATCAAATAATTCACTGCTATCAGTTATGGCCAGTTAAATCAAGGGTTTGCCTAGCAAGATATGCCCACGTTTTGCAAGAAATGAATGGGGAAGAGTTAAAATCAATAGGGTTTATCCTCTCATTCAAGAACTTTTGATCCTTAACATATTTAAGTTTCAACAGAATGGGACAACAATGGTACCCCCCCCCCCCCCCATGGAGAGCCTATAAAATCCGTACATATTTCAAATTTTGCGCGAAAAGCAGGGGCTATAGCTCTAGAATGTACGGTCTAATGCTACCATAGTCGAACTCATCCAAGAACTTCTGATCCTTAACACACAGTTTAACTTTCATCGTAAAAGGTCCACAAACTTCATTCATGTAAAAGGCAGGGGCAGATGCGCGTGATAGTTGAACTCACCCAAGAACTAGTGATACTCGTTTTAAGTTTCATCTAAATCGTGCATACTTTTTTTGTAAAGAGGAGTGGCTATTTGACGGGGAAGTTTTGGTCCGTTTTTGAGGAAATAATTATGGTGTAATGGTGATATATTTGAACATCTTTGAAAAAAAGGTACACAATGTGACCTCTAGGCGGCCCATAAGCCAAAGACATGATAATTCGTACAACCAGGGGGGTCATAATCTAGAAATTTACGATCCAATATGCGCCAATATCGAAAGGAACACAGCAGAAGTTTGGATTGTAAATATATATTTTAAGTTTCATCAAAATTGTATAAAAAATTGCAGCGGCTGGATGATCTACAACCTGTGTATGTTCAGATTAAATATTAAAGCCACCAGGAGATCACGAGAAGTAATCAGGCCGGGGGCTAGATCTTGGGTTAGGATTGGTGCTATCCTAATATGTAGGTAGCCTTGATATTTAGATCTAAAATTGGTATTACATGCGTTTATGGGGCCGGCCATTATATCGGGCAGCTCTGTCCTATTTTCAGAAAATGTGAACTCAACCGTAATTATGGTATAACGGAGATTTATACGAACGCCTTTTAAATATTCGAAAGTAACAAAACCGAGAACTTTGGGAGAAAGACCTATATTTCAAGTTTCGTAAATATCGGATAAAAATTGTGACCTGATATAGTTGAACGGTATTTAAAATCAAATAAAAACTGTTACTTCTATGGTGTCCACAAACTAAAATGTGATTGTTCGTACAAACAGTGGCCATAATCGGTCCACAATCTTTGTATTTTTATGCAGCATCACAGGAGTAAACCACAATCGACTGTGTTTTTATGGTAAGAGAGTTCAAAAAGGAATACAATTTCACTTCATTGCTGAGTAGTTTTATCAGCCAGAAATCGCTCAGAAAGCATCTCCGACGATCTAGACCCCCAAGGGATCCCCATGGACCCTCGCCTAAGGACCAAGGATGGTAGACACCCCCCCCCCCGCCCAATCAAGAATTGCTACCGCCGGCCCTGCAAAATTCATAGTGAAACCACCATCAACATGGATTAAAATAACAGTAACAGTAACAATAGAAGGTGGTGATTTTGTTTTACCTTAGGGTGCGTTTGGGGATTTATTCAGATAGCATTGAACTAAGATATTCTGGGGCTTTTCCATTTAAACATTTATGGGCCATACACAGGAGTTTGAAATGGATTCTGTGGGTGATTGGTAGCCAGTGCAGTTATTTTAAAACAAGTGTAATTTGACAGTTTCTGTCAGATCTGCAGACGATCCTGGCTGCAGTGTTTTGCACAATTTGAAGTTTGTTTATCAGGTTCTGATAAATGCATGAATGTGTGTATCCTGCGTGCTACTTGGCCACAGTGCTCAAGTTTAGCTAAACATTAGTTACTTTTAGCTTTTCGGATAACGTTGGTTAAGTAAGAGTACTGAGAGCAATACAGCTGTCTGTGGATCTCCAATTTAGATTTACGCCATTTTCGCTCTGCTCGGCGTCGAGCACGTTTTGCTTCTAGAACATTTGGGTCATACCATGGTGTATTAAGTCTGACAGCTACAGTTCTGTTTCTTGGAGGACCATGTGTGTCTAGAAGGTCAGACAGAGTCTTGTTATACAAAGTGGCAAGATCATTCACAGATTGGGGTGGATCTTGAAGAAGAGTTGAACTTAGCAAGTCAGATCTGAATTCAAAAGTAATGATTAAATTCCAGTCTTTATCACGGTTAAAATCACATCAAATATACACCTTCGTGATTCATAAAAATGGCTGCAGCACTATTCAGCGTGTAAAAGTAGCAAAAGATATGGTAAAAGGACGACGATTTTATACGAGCCTTTTCCGTATGAAAGCTGTTCGATGCGTGCTGTCGTATCCGTGTGCCGTATCCCGTATGAGAAATACACACGCATTGCTGGCATCACACGCAAAAACGATACGGATACGCGATACGGACCAGGTATTTACGCTTGCCAAAAGTCTCTAATTTTGGGTAGATCGTGCGTGTGTGTGTTTCAGGCTTTATGTTCGCTTCGACCTTTCGTCATATCGTAGACAAGAATAGAAACTTGCCTGAAGACCGACAGCATACGCGTCAGAAAATCCCGACAATGGGTATATTGTTTCACTTAGATATTTCTATACATGTAATTGTATACCAATGTTTCAGTGATATTTTAGTGAAGAACACTTTGACATTTGGACTTGATTATACTTATATATATATATATCTATCCACACTTATCAGTAGTGAATTATCGCTAGGCAGCTACAATCACTGATAAGGAGAGAGAGAGAGAGAGAGGGGTTAATGTCCACTCGACACAAACTAGGTCATTTCGGGACTAAGATTTGGATTAATTTTATTTTATAATTCGCTTGCGCGTAGGAGTCTTTACCAGTGGGAGGAAACCGGAGGACCCGGAAAAACCTACGAGGTTAGACAGGCGATCTTACTCCTTGTTACGTACAACCGGGGATTCGAAACCACGCCAGTTGACTCAATGACAGGCTTTATGATACAGCGCGCACGTGCTAACCATTCGGCCACCCCCCCCCCCCACTGATAAGGATGACATCAATGCGACTTAATGAGTCTCAAATATTAACGTCGACAGTTGTACTTTAATATAGTCATAAAATGCGCCTACCTGTTATAATAACAACTGTTCCTCTCAATGAAGCCATCTTATTACGTCGTGCTATTCGGACTGTTGAAAACTACGTTATGCTACAATACAGAAGATGAATGAATGTGAGACCATGCTCGCTTCTGAATGGCCAACTTGCTTTACCAGTCTAATTAATACCTGCCGATCATGTGATCTTATTTCTAAAAATATACCTTTTACCCGGGTTTCGAATAGTATCCTTATTTCTAGCAATATATACCGGGTCTACCCCCTTTTTCTATCAAGATATACGCGTTCTCTAGCGCTGCCCTTACTTCTAACAATATATACCCGTCCTCGAACGGTGCCCTTACTTCCAACAATATATACCCTTCCTCTAACGGTGCCCTTACTTCTAACAATATATACCTGATCCCTAACGGTGCCCTTATTTCTAACAATATATACCCGTCCTGGTCTCGTACCCATACTCCCGCCTTTATTAGCCCAGTCAGAGTAGAACAATAGGTCATTAAATCCCATTTCATTTCATTTGATGTCATTTGTACCCTTACTTGTCTTACCATATGTCTCGAAATCACCTCGATGTTAATCTGCAATATGAGGACAAAGGACAAACGCTGCACAGCTATGAATATATCTTATCTATGTAACATTTTATTTAGCTATGTCATCGCACGTAATTTATGTAACAACTGTCGTCTTGCCGTTGAATGAATGCATAGTCAAGTATAGACCGTATGACTTCCTAGAGGGGTAGCTATTGGGAGCACCAATTGTTTACATTCTATAGTTTCCTAATTGTATTTTATATCCGAAGTATAGATGTGTTTATTGGTATATTTTATATATGAGAGTAAATAATAAATATGTACATAATTATTCAGTTAATTAAATTATGATTATAAATATTTAGTTCGAATTTGCATGTGTACTTTATTAGTTACTCCTATAGATTGTGGTCTTTCGCCTGGGATCAAGCATGGCAGCCAAATTTGTGCGTTGCGGAAAGGGGTAAAGTCAAAAAGTTTTCACGTGTGTTTATTTGTGTAATCAACGTGATATTCATCATACATGTAATACTCAACTTAATAATTGTCTGTCAACTACTGAAATGATGATGATATAAAGATAACGAACTTGCGATTTAATCCCAGAGAATATCACACCTCTGTTCGTTAGTGTTTAACGGCCTGCATAACGAGGTGTGCTGTTACAATGTATAACATACTTAAAGGGGCTAAATCGCTAATATTTGGGACCTAGAAATTGACCCAAATGGGTCGAAACGCATATAATAATGTAATCTGGTTGTATATAAACTTGTATATTTACATTCAATTGTTTCCGTTTTAACTCTAATTTCAAATCAGTTAGATCCAGCGAAATACGAATGTCAATTTCTAGCGGCATATAATAATGTAATCTGGTTGTATATAAACTTGTATATTTACATTCAATTGTTTCCGTTTTAACTCTAATTTCAAATCAGTTAGATCCAGCGAAATACGAATGTCAATTTCTAGCGTCTGGTTATTCCAGTCTATTGCGCATGCTCTCATGGCGTCACCGTTTGACATGAGTTGTGGAATATGTCTAGCATCTCTCTTTCTGGTCACTTGTTACAAATGACGATGAAACGCCCCATGGTACACGATTCGTGTACCAATGGTAAAATGTTTATTTTGTCTTAAATATTGGATATAAGCCTACCTTTTCCCGGTAAGATAACAACATCAATGTTGATTTGAATTGACAAATAATTCGTGTTTTCAACGTGTAAGACTTTGGATGATATTGAGTTCGAGACTTAGCTACTTTAATATTATGTTTAAATGAATAGAATCTATAATAATATATTTTGCTATGTGAAAACACGTATCGAGTTCATTTTATTTTTTATATGAATCGGCATATAATATAGCTAAAATGTAAAGGGTCATATATACACTACCACTTAATTACCTTGTCATCATTCAAATTAATTACCTTATGTCACCATTCAAATTAATTACCATATGTCACCATTCAAATTAATTACCTTATGTCACCATTCAAAATTAATTCACCATTCCATGATTAATGTGTGATCATATGAAACCAATTAAATATTGGGTATCACCAGAAGTGATGTCACTCTAGCCTCTGAATCAAATATTTATTTGTTTGAATTTAAGACGTTATATATAATGCACCTGGTTAGTCCAGTCTAATCGGAAGTACGTTTCGGCATTTCAATTACGAACTGACGTTTGACCTCGATCATCAATTCCCATCATTACAAACCGCGCTCGAGTACACACCAAGTTGTACTGGTGTTAAACGTGTTCACTCCGTCTTATATATTTGATATCAGTTGCCTATATTTACACGGTAAGATAATTAGCAGTGGGAGCTAGGAAACCGGAGGACCCGAAGAAAACCCACGAGGTTGGACCCTACTCCTTGTCACGTACAACCAGGGAATCGAAACCCCGCCAGTTGACTCAATGACAAAGTTTGCGGGGAGAAATGCTGAAAATCAATAGGATTCGTCTTCTCATAACACCAATGCTTCTGTCTAATCCGTTGAAAACTGTAGCCTCTATCACGGTAACAAGATATATGGACAGGTGGCTGGATATTTAAAATAGAGTTTGTCCTCCCAAGGCACAATGGATTAAATATCCCTCCCAAGGCACAATGGATTAAATATCTTCTCGGCTTCTTGCCTTTCATTCTTCCGATTACGGACTCAAAGCAAGGCGATGAAGGAATAACATCAATCTATGCAGTGATTCGGCTTAGCTCATAGCCACGGAGTCGGTTAGAGCCATTTGTCGCAACTTGCCTTCGATATTATAAACGGGAAAGAAAGAAGGAGTACATATCAATTAAGCTTGGCATTAATTAATTTGACCTGACCTGATCTGCAATATGTCCTGAAACTGTCATTTTGTGTAAAGAGTAAGCAAAAGTGGTGCAACGTCAATACACTTACAGAAACATCAACAGGTGATTCTAGGCAGTAGGCGGATTAATATGTGATGATGGTACTGGTAACTATGATGATGACAATGTTGACAATGTGTTGATAATGATGAAAAGGTTGACAATGTTGACAATGTGTTGATAATGGAATACTAATTATGAATGTTCACTGAATATGTTGACAAATGATTGACTGATATATATTAAAATTCCTGACATAAATACATGTACAAGCATTGACATGCAACAATAAAATGTTAAAGTAATATTATGAAATAATTATTCCGTCACAAAACACAAATTCGTTTGCAGGCCTCTTGCATGTATGCCATCGAGTCAGATTTAGGTTATACTGGGCTTGTCTAAGAGAACAAGTTGAATAGGGTTACTTGGCATTCAATGCTACCATTTCCTGGAAGGCTGAACCAAATCTAGGAATACATAAAACAAAAGGAAATCAAACAAATAAAATACATACGGGACTTAAGTCAATAATACAACGAAAGGTGCAATTTGACCGTTACATTGTGCAAATCCAAATTCCCTCTTCTAAAATGGAATCATATTTTTGATAAACAATATTTGTTATTCAGGATTGGGGAACAGGCGAATCTATATTAAACCCCTCTCCATGTCAGATATAGACACTTATATTTACATTTTATAAATAAACAAACAATTTACAAGTTTTAACGCTGGTGTTATCCTTGCCCGTGGTGATAGTTTAAAAAATAATCAATGAAATGGAATGAAATGAAATGTGGTTTTGTGGCACGTCAGCTCCAACCGGGCTATATTGCGCCAAACATATGGTGAAAAATACAGCTTGTTTATTGTATTGTTGCTGGTTCCTGGATATAAGGGGGACAACCAAAGAGGGTGTTTAGTGAGGATCGTATTTATGAATTGCATTGTCAGCAATATGACGTAACAAATATATTGCCGCAAGAGGGACGCAGCTTACATTGAATGATTTGGTTTGCTCGCGACCCAAACGAAAATAATTTGGTGGTGTTGAATGTTGTGCCATTAGTTTCGATTTTAAGAGAAGTCTGCACTTATTGTATTACAATTCACTAATTGTCGATATGTATTTCACTTTAATATTCGAGTAATTTGGTTTTATAGAGATTAGAATGTGCCCTGTCTTTCACAGAGACAAGACGGTTTATATATCCCTTTTAGGGTAATAAAATCGGTTTCATTTTGACTGTCTATGGCTGATAATTATTCTTGATAAAATAGGAAGCAGGACAAACACTTAGTCATCAGGTTTGAAGTTTCCCCTTGTCAGTGATGCAGGACGGAGGGCCTGACAAGGACAGCTGTCTAGTCGTTCGGATGAGACGAAAAACCGAGGTCCCGTGTACACATTGGCGTGCACGTAATAGATCCCTTGGCAGTTGGAATTCGATATAAGAGTAGGCCGTAGCGCCGCTGCCCGGGCAAAATTTCCCTCATAGCACCTTGTATGGCGTATGCCCGTCTTCATTAGCCCAGGTTAGGAGCAGAACAGTAGGACGTTAAACCATATTTCCTTTCATTTCAAGTTTCGTTCAACTGCATTTTAGTCATACTTGTTTAATTAGATGTAATAACTAGCTATCGTTAACCGTGTAAAATGGTTCTACTTTTCTGCTACACGAAGACGCGAGAGGGGGGGGGGGGGCGGTGTAACGTGTTAACTCGACACAAACTAGGACATTTAGAGACTAAAATATGGTAAAATGTCAATCGTTGTTAGGGGTTTTAACAAACTTGGGAATGAAACCACGCTTATAATCTAGACCAGCCCACTTTAATGAATTGCACACTTTATACTATAATCAACCCGTGATAAAAAAGATCCTCATTAACATATGAATACGGTTGTTCTTTTTATATGAGTTGAAAAGAATAAAACACGCGTAGTCATACAATCATGAGATATGAATCATGATGTAGTTTATTTTCTATCATTAAAAAGAGACACGTGACGTTATAAATTCAATTTTAATGAGGTGTCAAATATAATACCCGTACGAAATTTAAACACACCTGAATATAAATAACGATGTGCATTAAATTTAAAGACACCTGAATATAAATAGCTGAAATCAAATGGGGTTTAAGATCCTACTTTTCTGTACTAACAGGGCGAATGAAGACGAGTATACGTCACACGATGTGCACATGTGGGATATTTTGTATTGACAGCGGCTCACCGTCTAATAGTATTTTGAATTCTAACTGTCAAAGGCCCCTCAATTCGTCCTACATCACCCATGAGGGAAAATGCCTCCAGAAAATATCGCGGAAGAAATACCGGGGGATGGGGGGGGGATTTAGAGTGGTTCCGAAATTTAAAGTGACGGAAATGTAAATAAATTTTGTATGATAATGTATATTGATAATTAGACAATGGGGCAGTGAAGGTTGCCATGGTTATATGGTTGTAAGTTCCTTAATGAATCGCTATAGGGTTTGTTCGCTTTAATAATAATCGTTTTCTATAGCGCTGAAAATTCAGTCAGTCTGACTGCTCTGTGGCGCTTTACAATGTAGATATGATTATGATTAGTCAAACAATTATCACGATTCTCCTTTTCCAAGTCAAGATAAAACAACAGTACATGAATACAGAACAATCTCAACATATAAACATAACACGACTACAGCACAGCCAATATCAACATAACGTAAAATGAAATGGGGTTTAACGTCCTACTGTTCTGCTCCTATACTGGGATAATGAAGACGGGCAGACGCCATACAGTGTGCTATGAAGTAAATTTTGCCCGGGCAGTGGCACTATGACCTATCCTTATATCGAATTCCATCTGCCAAGGGATCATTTACATTCACGCAGTGTGTACACGGGGCCTTGGTTTTTCGTCAAATCTGAACCAATAGATGGCTGTCCTTATCAGGCCCTCCGCCCTGCACCATTGACAAGAGGAAACCACGTCGGAAAATCTCGATGAACTTTCTCGGCCAATGCGGGTATCGAACACACGACCTGCATAGATATACTGAGCTCTAAACCCAGAAAGTATGGTGTCTACCTGTAGGTTATAGATATCATTGTTTTAATAGATCACATCTATTTTTCGTTATGACGTCATTATTTGTTAAACTCTGGCACACTGAGTGGCGACGATCTTACAAGTTACAAGTTAATGGTCCATCCGATTCGCCCAGTCAGCAGAAATAGCCACCGTCAACTTTAACAAGTCAATTGCCGTCTTTTAATTGGATCATTAACAGTTTTTTATGCTGTGGTCAGGTTATGGAAGATCCTAATCATCCCGAGAGAAAACAGGTACATAAGATTTGGACAATTGTTGAAAAATGAATAAAAAACATTTCGAATTATGTGACTCTGGCCATGCAGAACAAACAGTGCATTTATAAAAAATATAGACAATTTCGACTAGAACAAACGGAACAGATAATGTTAACATAAAATAGAACAATCGGAACAGATAATATTAACATAAAATAGAAATGAAATGAAATGAAATGGGGTTTAACGTCCTACTGTTCTGCTCCTAACCTGGGCTAATGAAGACGGGCATACGCCATACAGTGTGCTATGAGGGAAATTTTGCCCGGGCAGCGGCACTATCGCCTACTCTTATATCGAATTCCAACTGCCAAGGGATCTTTTACGTGCATTCCTATGTATACACGGGACCTCGGTTTTTCGTCTCATCCGAAGGACTAGACAGCTGTCCTTGTCAGGCCCTCCGTCCTGCATCACTGACAAGGGGGAACCACGCCGGAAAATCTGGATGAACTTTCTCGGCCAATGCAGGGATCGAACACCCGACCTCCAGGCTAGCAACATAAAATAGAACAAACGGGACAGACAATCTCAACATAAAATAGAACAAACGGAATAGACAATCTCAACATAAAATAGAACAAACGGAACAAACAATCTCAACATAAAATAGAACAAACGGAACAGATAATGTCAACATAAAAAACAACAAGTACATGGACACTTTAAATATTACACCTGAATAAAACATGTTAGCTATAAAGAAGAAGACACAGGAAGTAAAAGATATTCATGAGTCGGTTTCGTAATGAATCAACATTCACTACTTCTTTACATAATGATAAACAAAATGAACAGGAAGAAAATGTATTTTTTACAACGTCTGAGTCAGTTTGTTGTTCGTGTAAATCATTGGTATAGGATATTATCCAGATATCGTTAGTTTATTATAGTATCCAGATATCGTTGGTGTGGTATATTATCCAGATATCGTTGGTGTGCTATATATGTTATCATGAATGTTACACGGATATTTATACTGTTGTCACTTTCAGGTAACCCATATTTCTCTTGTTACGCCAGATAAACTATATCTCTATCTAGTTTATAGATTAATGTTATTACGTCAGGTAACCCATATCTGTATATAGTTTATAGATTAATGTTATTACGCCAGGTAAACCATATCTCTATATAGTTTATATATACTAGAGGTAAACAAGTAGTTAAAATCTATTTATATATATATATATCCATAGCAACATTTGTCAAAAGGTACGCATTCAAATCCATAAAGCAACATTTGTAAAAAGGTACTTTGACAGTTGAATAAGTCAGGTATTCGGTTCTGGTGGTTAGTTTATAATTATCGTTCTATACATGCATGTAGACATACCATTGAGATATGACATAAATCTGCACTCAACCATTCAATCGTTCAAATGATACTAAAAATATATTAAATACTATCACAATATATACCAGTCTGCTTATTAAATATACTATTCAAAAAAAGTAGGGGATATTTGATTTTGGGGGCATAATACTAAAATATGCAAATGACTACGAAAAAAGTCACTATAGAACCTAACAGAAGAAACATTTCCAGTTACATGTGACGCCCAAACGCACCAATAGCTACCGCATGGAATGCAGGTGATGCTTGGGATCATCATGGGGGTCCAACCCAAGATTTGCACGACTCTGACTTTGAATGTTACAGTCATTGTGGCATTGAATTCCAGGGTGGAAACATCAGTTTAATTGTTTTAGTGACCAGAAAACAAATTTTGATATGCATCGGCTTACCCAAAATGAAAGGTTACGTGCCCTTGGCATGCTACAGATCGGCACAACACAGGCGGTTGTGGCGCGGACGATGAATGTTTCTCAGTCTGTCATAAGCAGGCTATGGACCAGATACCGTGATACACAATCTGTACAGGACAGACCACGCTCAGGTCGACCAATGGCGACACCTCTAGCCCAGGATCGATTTATCCGTACCTTGGCCTTTAGAAATCGTGTCATCACAGCAAATCAGATCAGCGCTCGTCTTCAAACAGACACTGGTGTGAGAGTGAGTGGCCAGACGATTCGGAATCGACTGCATAGGGGTCACCTTCGCGACCGACGTCCTCGCGTGATCCCTTGTTTGAGAGATCATCACATTCAGGCAAGACGTCGTTGGTGTAGGGATCGTCAACACTGGGATAATCGACGCTGGAGCAATGTGATGTTTTCAGATGAGTCAAGGTTCACTGTTGATTTTTTGGACAGACGTAGGAGGGTGTGGCGTCGTCGAAACGAGCGCTTCCAAGACGTTAACGTCATCAGACATGATCGATTTGGGGGTGGTTCTGTTATGGTGTGGGGAGGCATCACTGTTGCTGGAAGAACGGCTTTACATGTTGTTGCAGGGCGTGTTACAGGCCAGTACTACCGGGACAACATCTTGGCAGTCCATGTTGTGCCGTTCGCACGACGTCGTGGCCGCCGTTTCATCTTCCAGGATGACAACGCAAGATGTCACAGGGCCAGGATCGTTACAGGTTACCTCCAACAACAGAACATCACCACATTACCTTGGCCAGCACTGAGTCCCGAACTCTCCCCCATCGAGCATGTCTGGGACATGCTTGGACAGAGGTTACGTCAACGTCAACAACGTCCTGCCAATGTCCAAGGACTTGCTGCTGCGTTGCAACAGGAATGGGACAATCTGGACCAAAATGACCTTAGACGTCTCATTAGGAGTATGCCACGTCGGATCAATGCTTGTTTGGCAAACAGAGGAGGATTTACCCGTTACTGACTTGGTTGTGATGCTGTGGTAACTTTGCTGTTTGACCCCGGGTATCATTTTACCCTTATAATGGTCAGTCTGTGCCTTACTTAGTCTAACGATCATTTGGAATAGATCGATGAATGTGAACTTCATTTCATTTTGTCATTTGTTTCTTCGTCAGTTTCATTAGGTGACTTTAATAACACTTAAAAATCAAATATCCCCTACTTTTTTTGAATAGTATATTATTCAAAATATGAAACAGCCAATGATTATTTATACAGAACATTGACAAACGTCTTGTTGAATTATTGAATCAAATATTGACATCTATAGAAACACAAGAGAATATACAACTAAAATATATTTAATTGTTGATGGTTCACTAACACACCATCAATTATAATAATATTTTTATTTCACTTCTTTCAGTGAACATGGTAGATGGTAAATCGGCGTATGCTTGCTATAGGCCAAGTAGTTCACCGTGTACGAGTACAGCGTTGACTTGTAAAGATGGTCAGGTGATTGCTATGGAAGGGACAAGCGATAGAAATAAAATCGAAATGGGACATTCCAATAAACAATGTGAAAGTGAAACAGGATGTAACTCTGGAGAATGTTGTCGATCATCAGAAGAAGATGAACCAACAACAGCTCTTTTTAAAGACCGTGTTAAAGTTTATGACAGATGTTCCAATCAACAATCGTGTAATGTGACCTCGCCTTATGTTAATAATACAGATTATGGTTATATAAAGTATATCTACTACTGTACAGACGGTATATTACCTCACCTTATATGGTTATATAAATTATATCTACTACTGTATAGACAGCAAGGTTCCTCTAGACATTATATATCGCTAAAGATCTTGGATGTTGATGATCATTTCCCGGTACTTTACGGCCGGTTATTTATACCGTGAAAGAGTTAAAGGGGAAGACCAACGATTTTCAATAAGGTTTCCATAAATAATAAATATATATTTAGAAATAATCCCTCATATAACATATGCAAAAAATAATTTGTAAGCGAGAAATTAATTTTTATTGATACCGGAAGTGACGTAGTTGGTTCGACACGCTCACTGGTCACTATAGTAAACATACAAATTTGGAGTAAGTTTATTAAGAACAAGAACTTACGGTGTTTTGAAAGTATAATATACAACGCGTTTGTGTAAATTAAGTTTCTAAACCGGACACTGTGACACAATTTAAGCCACATGGCTAATTGTTTACATCACGTGATAGCTGGCACGTGACAGATATTAACCGAACACAAATTGGCGACCTATTCGGCTAGCGACCTATTCGAACGATCCAGCTGGCAACCTGTTCGTTGGCAACCTATTCAGAATAAATTCAACAGTCGCCCAAACTCATCTATTTTTATCAACCAATAAAATCCAACGTAACGTCTATCAAATGAAAGTAGAATATATTATCATTTATCCATTCCTTTAGCTCAGAATAGAGATGTAATTTCGCATTATCTTACAAAATTCTGGACATTCAACTAAATATATTCCGAAAGCTGATTAAATAAGCTTTTGAAATATTATTAGTAAAAGTTGGCACAATCATATTAAAGGGATGCGCTCTCATTCTGAATAGGTTGCCAACGAACAGGTTGCCAGCTGGATCGGTCGAATAGGTCGCTAGCCGAATAGGTCGCCAATTTGTGTTCGGTTAATATCTGTCACGTGCCAGCTATCACGTGATGTAAACAATTAGCCATGTGGCTTAAATTGTGTCACAGTGTCCAGTTTAGAAACTTAATTTACACAAACGCGTTGTATATTATACCTTCAAAACACCGTAAGTTCTTGTTCTTAATATCCTAATAAAGATTACCTTTCATCAGATTTTCTGCCAAACGGCGAAACGAACACAAAATACAGCGCTAAACTTGCTCCAAACTTGTATGTTTACTATAGTGACCAGTGAGCGTGTCGAACCAACTACGTCACTTCCGGTATTAATAAAAATTAATTTCTCGCTTGCAAATTATTTTTTGCATATGTTATAGGAGGGATTATTTCTAAATATATATTTATTATTTATGGAAACCTTATTGAAAATCGTTGGTCTTCCCCTTTAAATAGATTTATGAATTTGGTTAATTCATTGAAACTGTTACTAATTACTATACGGTAACTAGGGTTTATATACAGTAACCGTGCTCACAAAGTGGATTAAAAGGTATACACGAGGAATGAAGTATAGATTATTCCAAAAAGCAAATAAATTATAATGAAAATTTAATAAACGAACAATTCTTAATCATATTTGAGTAAACGTGTATAATGAGGGCGATAATCCAGATAGAAATACGGAAACCGCTTTAATCTGTAACAATTAAGGAACATAAGGGCATTGTTCAATTATATCATTGCACAGAATGTAATCAGCTATATACTTGCAGGAAATGTCAAACTTGGCATTTTGCAGAAATGGGAGTTTCGAAATTTCTTTTAAAATAAGCAATCATGCTTCCCTGGGAAGTGCATTTAAAATAAAGAGTTCTCTATCGCGAGAGTTTGATCCCCGGGCATGTATATTGCACAATAATAACCTTCTATACTATTACACCATTAATTATAAAGATGCTGCCATAGCATTGAAATGAAATGAAATGGGGTTTAACGTCCTACTGTTCTGCTCCTATACTGGGATAATGAAGACGGGCATACGCCATACAGTGTGCTATGAGGGAAATTTTGCCCGTGCAGCGGCACTATCGTCTACTCTTATATCGAATTCCAACTGCCAAGGGATCTTTTACGTGCATTCTAATGTATACACGGGACCTCGGTTTTTCGTCTCATCCGAAGGACTAGACAGCTGTCCTTGTCAGGCCCTCCGTTCTGCACCACTGACAAGGGGAAACCACGTCGGAAAATCAGGATGAACTTTCTCGGCCAATGCAGGGATGCACTTCTTGAAATGTTGACTAGCATGATATAATACAGTATTTACTTCGTTTGGTCTAAGAGAAGATAAAACAGTATTTATATAATTACTTTTATTTTGTCGGATAATTTGTATAGTCTTTAATTAAAACAGATCTAAGTTGTTTTTTATTTTTGCCTTTGTACAGATCAACAGAATATAAACATTAGAAATGATATTGAAGACAGTTTTAAAAGGGAAATCTACATCTATCTCAATGGATCATCTGGATCTTGGCTACCACGATGTTGTCAAATCACCAGCTTTGTTACTATAGCTGTAAATAGTTATTATATCAACCTGGGTGCTGAATCCTGTCGGGGGATTAAAATAAACAACCAGACCTTGTTTAACTGTAGTACAGAAGATAGATTGATTAGGTTACGTAAAAAGTTGATTTCTGGTGTAGAAATTGATATCGACATTCTACAATTTGAACCACAAGACCTTATATGGATAAACCTACATATAGGTATTATGTTGTTTATTTTCTATATACCCAGCGTGATAATTTTAAGTGTATAGATAGAGTTTTGTGGGGGTAATGTTTCGACCAAATGAATTTACACAGTTTACTCTATGACAACATGCAATAAAACACCAGACCAGCCCAAAAACATAGATCAAAGAGGTTTATCATCTTTTTATAGATTAATATATATGCCATAAGGCAATATGTCTGCTTCTCTTTTTTTAGATCCTGGGTCTCAGTTACATGTACGATGTCATTCTTGTAATTCATATGAAACATCTTCACAGGAAACAACTTCAAACGGTAACGTACACTTGTATCCTATACCACCAATACGTTAAACAACTTCACAAATCTTAAGTTTGTGATAGAAACAGACAAATGTATTAAACCACCAACAATTAATGATAAGCTTACAATTAACTATGTTAAAACTTAATTATTATATCAAACATTAATGTTCACCTATTCCAACAAGATAACGAATCTGCTACTTTTAATTTACAATCAATCAATCAGTTTAGTATCAATATATTTCTTTACCATATAATTTTACCCTTAAAGAGTTATTCCTGTATATCATGTGTATCTTTATGTCTACCCTTTGATACTTACTAATGTTTGTTGTATTATGGGTACACACACCACCACCTCGCCTAAACATAGCGGTAAATATATTTATAATATGTTAACGTATTTACTTATTTATGTGATTGAGGAGGGGAGGGGATATTTTAATTTCTCTCTTTACTTATCCCCACAACATAACATAACTTATTTTAACATATAGAGATAGGATTGATTGAATTAAATCTACTCTAAGCTGCCTTCTTTATTCTTACTACACAGCCATCTTATAAGGTGAAGGTCTATTGACTGTAGGCCTATTGTGTTATTTATGACAGGCTATCAACTTTCTATTCATGTTTACTACTATTAATAATTGTTGTATTACAGGTGAGCCCGGTTTCCAGCATACCAAGATAATACTGTCCGTGTTGCTGTGTGTATTATGTGTGATAATTGTTGTCATGGTGTATTTATTCAAGCAAGTAGTTTTAGTTTTGATACAACTTCACATGCTAACTGGTTTCACTGTGAATATAATTAGACCATTACGTTAACTGGATGACGTGCACATAGCCATGTTTATGAAGGGGATGTTCATCATATAGTCATGTTGTCGTGCCAACATTGTTAATCAGGGGATATCAATCATCTAGATAGGTTGACTCAATAGCTATATATACATTCACCTGTGGACTACTTGCACGTGCGTTCAGCGGATGAAGACGTTTTCCAAGTCAGAATAGGTACAAAGGCGAAGTTTATGAAAAGTAGGTGACACATTAGCATAGATGAAACACATTAGATGTGGTGAACACGTTGGTCACGCGGGGGCCTGACGAATTTGACTCTCTTATATATGACAATCTAACGAATTATATGACTTCGTAATATGAAGAGGACAAATATCCCCTTTTATACGACGATTATTGACCACCCAACTCAATGTAAATGTTTTACCGATATGTTTTATATTTCATCAGTCTTTTAGGAAAGAAATTCATTCAGATTTTTCGGAGTGGTTTCCCCCTTGACAGCTGTCTAGTCGTCGTTGGATGGGACGAAAAACCGAGCTCCCGTGCACACATAGGCGTGCCCGTAAAAGATCCCTTGACAGTTGGGATTCGATGTAAGAGTGATCCGTAGTGCCGCTGTCCGGGCAAAATTTCCCTCATAGCTCACTGTATGGTGTATGCGTGTCTTCATTAGCCCAGTCGGAGCAGAATAGTAGGCCGTTAAACCCCATTTCATTTCATTTCCTTATGAAAGACTATAGAGTGATAGTGGAATCGCCACTCAGTAGCTAACAGTAATTGTATTCCATGGAATTATAGCCTGTGTATTCTTAACTCCTGTAGAATCATTCAACATCTTATCATACAAATATCCATGCAATGCTTTATCACTATGCAATCCCCGCATCAGCCCCAAACCGATGACCCATTTATTACAACACAACCTTACAGTTTTAGTGTTCGTGACTCAATACCAGGGTTATATTGTAGAACTCATGTATAATAATATCTTTTCACAAACGACGATTTTATTGTGTTCCTCAAATTAATATTACTCGAGTTTTATAATATCTGTTCTAAATATGGTTTATTGTATTTCAGGAAACTAAACGTGAATATATATATATTCTTCACGGCATGCTTTAAAACGAAATGTACAGAGGATGGAAATAGCCATATTATTAATGAAGGTTCCCAGTCAGTATCTAGTCACGATTATTATGAAGAAATACCATTTAAAAACACATCACATCACTATGCTGATCCCATAGATATTCTTCAACCACAAGAACAAGACAGTGTCACTGGTGCATCCCTACTCTATCATTTGGAACGATCCGTCTCTGTTGATAGTAAAGAACAAGAAGATTGTTCGCGATCTGATTCAAGGAAACGAGAGATTGATCTGGGATACACCCAAGTCAACAAGACGTTTCGGGTGGAGTCACAAAGTCACAATGGGAACCCTAGTTACATGACCGGAGATAAAAGAAGTAACTCGATGGATTCCATATCTGATCCAGATTATGATCATCTGGGATCCGACAAAAATTCAAAATCGGCTAATAATAGCCAGTCTGATTATGATCACATTTGTATTAATTATTAAAAACAGATTGAAGTTATTTGACAATTCTTAGTATCAAAGTGTAATATTTTCAGAGTAAATTTGAATATGCAAGTTATTCTGAATATATGTTTATTTGTTCTAAAGAACATTAATTGTTTACATCATGTAAGTAACCCGTAACGAATCCTCATTCACCCAGAAAGCATTCTAGCCCAGTCGAGATGTTTAGATACCAATCAGTAGCGTATTAATGGGGTGGGGAAGAGGCGAGGGGGCCGTTGGCGATGCCACTGTGAGTGTCGGGGTGCTAAAATGGTAGAAAAACTCAAATCTTCATGATCGATTATAGCTATAAATAAAACCATCCAAATTGGTTCACTCTAAATTTCATATCACAAGATAATTTTGGTCAAAATGGATATAATCTGAACTGAAATTGTTGTCCACTTGAAAGCGGAGGTTCATAAGATTGTAGCGACATATTTTAGTAATATCCGCTTTATATCGATGGATGCTAAATATTGGAGAATAATGAACGTAATTGAACCAATTATCATAATATTGTAGTTTCCACGGTATTACAAATAACGACCAGGGACGCGAAGAACCTTGGATTTGACTGGAAGCATACTCGGCCCTTACCTTTGATTGTATATAATACAACCATACCATGTTACAATTCATTATATGAAAACAGTGTGAGGAGAAATCCCGGTAATTAAATCTCGTATCAGTAAGGGTGTATATCCCATGTGGGGATGCAAAAGTTTACGATTACGTGGAGAGAGAGAGAGAGAGAGAGAGAGAGAGAGAGATGGGGTGTCGCGTCCACTTGAGACTGTCACTAACACATGGCCCATCTTTTTTTCAATAATACGTTTGCGCGTAGTGGTCTTTAGCTGTGGGAGGACCCGGAGAAAACCCACCGAGGTTGGACAGACGAACCTACTCCTTGTCACGTTCAAGCGAATTATGGAAATAAAATTGAACCATAGGTTAGTCCCGAAATGACCTAGTTTGTGTGATTGGACGTTAAACCCCATTTCTCTCTCTCTCTCAAGATGCAGAAGACTATGGAATATTTGGTATTAATTAGCATAACACATCTGGTAAATATAATGTAAAATAGCATACAAATAATAATAAATAAATAAAACATTTAACTCTAATGATGGTGATGATCATGATGAAGATATTTGTATCGCAAAAGTCACGAGGGAATGCTGCAGACTAGCGTAGTTCACAAAGTAATTGAAGAGGGATAACTGGCTTTATGTGATTGGCGTAAACAGAGGATTCCATGGCATGAAGCACTGCCGATGTAAGTCTAATTGACATACACTATCAAATAAATAATACAAATGACAGAAATGGCGTGCTTTATGCCCCCGAATACTCTCTAACATTGCCTGGCAATACTATCGACAAGATTTTATATTGACAACATTAATGAAGAAACGAAACAATAAACATATAAATATAATGGTTAGTAAATATAGGGATACAAATATTCATTCGTATACAAGGATGAAGTGATATCCGGATGTCAGTATGTCATTGATTCATATGTATAAAGAGATCTGGTCTGCACACGACTAGAAACAAACATAACTATATAATACTATATGGGTAATATAAATATGTCCGTGTAAGCAGCAAGCGAGGTGACTCGACGAATGAGTGAAGATACGTCATCAAAGTTTCCGTTTCCGTTAAAGTGACTTTTGGTCGTTTATAGGAAAAGAAAACACGTTTATATAATGTCTAAGAATCTGAACGTGTGGGTTTATCTAGGATACATCATCATAGTTCCCGTTTCCGTTAAAGTAACTTTTGATGGTGTCTAGGAATAGAAAGCGAGCGTGTGGGTTTATCTGATGTGTAAATCATCAAAGTTGAATCAGCTTACATTTCTATTTCAACGTATCCGTTTCCTTTAAAGTGGTGAATTTTGAAACACGTATAACATACAACGCTACTATTGAAATGTTATCACTGTTAACTTAACCGGGAGTGTAAAGGGTATTCGAGTTTTTCTCGCAAAACTTTCAATGAGATTATGTTCTCAGATTGAAATGTACAAACAAATCTTGAACTATACTGAAGGGTGTCGGTGAAAGTACGTTTAACCTTTTGTAATATCCAGTCCCGATTCTTAGTGGAATTTACTTTCTCCACTTCGGAAAGTCCACTTACAATTGTTCAGTTAACTCATATCCTACTATTTCCATGCATGGACCACTAATTTTTATAAACATTTACCCGGAGTTGAACCACTAATTCTTATAAACATTTGCTCGGAGTTGAACCACGAATTCTTAAAAACATCTGCCCGGAGTTGAACCCCTAATTCTTATAAACATTTGCTCGGAGTTGGACCACTAATTCTTATAAACATCTGCTCGGTGTTGAACCACTAATTCTTATAAACATTTGCTCGGAGTTGGACCACTAATTCTTATAAACATCTGCTCGGTGTTGAACCACTAATTCTTATAAACATTTGCCCGGAGTTGAACCCCTAATTCTTATAAACATTTGCTCGGAGCTGGACCACTAATTCTTATAAACATCTGCTCGGTGTTGAACCACTAATTCTTATAAACATTTGCTCGGAGTTGGACCACTAATTCTTATAAACATCTGCTCGGTGTTGAACACTAATTCTTATAAACATTTGCTCGGAGTTGGACCACTAATTCTTATAAAAATCTGCTCGGTGTTGTCTAATGAAATAGGGTTTAACATCTTACTGTTTGGTTCCGACTGGGCAAAGGAAGACGGGAGATTATCGTGGACGATTATATCTTATAAATACCTACCGAGGACCTTCTCTTGAAAACTACCATTATTCAGTTACTCCACATTAAATAATACTGCACACTTGCAGTCGCAAATTTCACAACGTATTATTTCAAACCGGTCCAATGGTTTTAATTTCTGTCCCCAATTTGGCTCAGTTATAGATTTTTGACAACTATTTAAATCAGATTTATTACCATTGGTCACTTTCAAAATTGGTGTAGACGCTAAAGTTGTTACATATGTCGTCGTCACCATCTATATCCGTCAATAATTGGCTGGTAAACGCGATAGAGGCGACATTTTTTAAACGAATATTTTCAGATTTGGTATGAAGGATTATGTTCTTGTGAGGACGAATCAATATCAATATTTAGAAGATTTTAAGGATCTTGTAGCTTGCGGCTGAAACACCAGCTCGTGCCGAAAAACTGTAAGGATGTTTGGAGAAACAAATAAATTAGGTTTAATGGGATTAATAATGGACCATCAAACTGTATAGTTTAGAGGCTCAGTGCGGTGGGGGGGGGGAGCGGCTGTTCATCAAACTGTAGTATAGCTAGACACAACACAAAGGTCGATAGTAACATCATTTAAGATACCAAATAAAAGGGCTCATTTAAGCTCTTCTGGATATAGAAGGGGTCCGTCATAAACCAGTCAACTGGGTCTGTATGAAATTGGAGATTGTAAGATAATTAAAAGGTTATCATTTTGAGATCTTATCGTGCGTGTGGGCACGGTATCAATTAAACACCCTTGACGATATTGTGGAGGCCCATTTGAGAAAAGCGCAGAAAACAATTGTGTACTTAATAGGAACCAGTAATGCTTTAAGAACAACTCGGTTGATATCCTCTTTGGGTACAGGTTTCGTAACTTTATTCTAGATTGTATTGTTGTCTAGGATACAGTTCCCTGTGGTTGTCTAGGATACAGTTCGCTATGGTTGTCTAGGATATAGTGTTGCCTTTGTTTATAGCCCCACCTGTTATATCAATATTTAAGTTGATAAAGGTATCCACTGCAGGCAAGTGTCAATTTCACGTTATTCAACATGTTATAATCGACTTGTAATACAATGGTATAAATTGCATCCTGTTTCTTGGTGGGTTAATACAATGGTATGAATTTCATCCTATTTCTTGATGGGTGAAGGAATAGAAATACAACTGCATGCATTTCACCATGTTCCTTGATGGACGAGGAAATGTTTCAGTTGTTAAAATGTGACGTTCATTAAGGGTCGTGCGGAAATTATGTCATTAGCATTGTTTGATGTGATATACGACGTACATGAATAATGAATCTCGCATGATCAGGTTTCCTTCCTTGCACGTATGCAGCTGGTGTAGCGTTTATTGATTCATATTCCCTGTAGCAATAAAATATATATTGTCATATACTTATATTTATGGTGGCCGTAAACTCGATAAAGTAAATACATTTAAACCATAAAATTTCTTTATTCTGTCCACCATAGGATTTATAAGTAAACCTTAAACCTTGTACATAGCGGTATTGAAACGCGTCACCGTCCCTTTAACTTGAAACTGCAGCCATGCCGTTACCAATACTCAATAGCCGATGTCTTGTTTACCGTTAGCCTTTCACATAGACACGACGAATTGAGACCTTAAACTAGCAGCTTATACAGTTCGCCATCGACACTCAATATCCGTTAACCGTGTGACATAAGCATTGAGCATCTATAGGAAAACTTTAACGTTAATACCGTTGACAACGGTTTTAAATAGTTTGAGACCGCTGTTTACTTCGCCATCTTTCGTTTGCACGCTTCCCGCTTGCTTACATCATCCTTTTTAATAAAGAGAGTTGCCTCCCTCTAACCGTTAAACTAAAATACATAAATTGATCGGCTGCGGGCACATACCCGGTCCCTAAATTAGGAAATCAATTTACAAACTAATATTCAGTCTTAATAACTGCAGCCGTTTAAACACATTAAAAATTGTCCACGTTAAACCGTAATACCATTAAAGTCATTTATATACTATTAAACATTAAATCACTTAAAAGTCACTTTAACACGTTAATCACCATCTTCCTTCTCAAGTAGTAGAACCAATTTAGCAATAGGTCGGCGTAGTTGAGTGGTTGACGTTCTAATTTTAGCAGCTCTAACTAGTCCTTTATTATCAGTTTCTGTTGAAACGATTCTTCCCATTATCCATTCGTTTCTAGGGAGACTGTCATCACACACAAGAACAATATCATCAATCTGGACATTACGTTGAGGATGACACCATTTATTGCGTTCCTGTAAACATATCATATACTCCTTCTTCCATC